CCACGTGCAAGAAGCCTGTTCCCACTCCTCTCGCTCTCTTGCACGCCTCTCTCTCGTTGGTTTGCTGGCCTCATACCTGGGCACTTCTGCTCCCTGCTCAGCGGCCGTCAGCCGGGCCCTTTCAGCGGTGATTTCGTCGCAGAGCACATCGTAGGGCTTGTCGAGATGGTGTTCGCCCATCACCCAGACCCACACCTCCTTATCGGCTCCCAGCTTCCAGTGAACAGATCTGCCGTTCTCTGCAGCAAACAAAACAAAACTCGGACTCAACGGATATCTTCAGCGATGTGTCCCATCAAGCAAGCATTTAAAGGTCCTTTGGGGTTGGGGGTGAGGTTGGGGGTGCTCGTCATCGTGTTTCATGCCAGCCTGCTTGGGAGCAAGTAGCACCAAGAGGTGGGGCGGGCAGTGGGCACAGCAGTCATAGCTCTGCACTTGGTCCTTCACATCCCCGTGTGGTAAATGAAAAAGCTGGAATGCAGGGCAGGGTGGAAAGCAATCATCGTTTGCTTTGTCCTTTGGGATAGCAACGGACTCCCTAACCACTTAAGTCGGAGAATCTCCCCGTGACCCACAGAGTCCATCGCTGCTCCAGGCTGACCGATCCACCACCTTTCCAGGCTTCACCGGAGAGGGCGGCAGCCTGCATTCTGGGGTGAGACAGACTGGCCGTGGGCTGAACCCCGAGCCCCACCGTTTACTAGCTGCGTGGCTTAGACCAATGACCTCATCTCTCTCAGCCTCTATTTCCTCATCTGAGAAATGAGCAATGGCATCTCCCCTAGAGGATGACGGATCCCTGGGGTGATGCAAAGGGCGAAACACTCAGCAGCTAACCAGAAGGTTAAGGGTTCGCACCCACTCAGGGGGGGGTTCCATGGGAGGAAGCCCTGGCGATCTATTTGCCAAGAAAACTCCCCCGTCAGACAGTTCTGCTCCGACACAGGGGGTGGTTAAGGAGTGAGTTTGATGGCACCGGCAGCAGCATCCTACAGGCAGTGAGGGTGAGTGGCTTAGTTAGTGGATGTCAAGTACTGCCCCCAGGCCTGCCACATAATAAGAGTTCAATGGAGGTCAACTGCTATCATCATGATCCTATTATTTACTTATATGGGTGTCCCAGAGATTCACACAGGCTCATGAGAAGATAACGCTGCTCAGGGTAGTGTGATACTGTAGGGAGGCGACTTAAATAACCCTTACTTAATTTGGTCTCAGGGGTTGTATTTCACACTAGTTCCCAGGCTCTTGAAAGGCGGTCTCTGCCGCACTAGCCAGGCTCATGCCAGTGTTCACTTAGGAAGGGCCAAGAGGGGCACCCCCTCAATTCACAGATGGCCAAAGTCCCAGGGCAGACCCACTCGGGGCCACGGTGGTCCAAAGAGTGGTCTGAGTGCGAACTCTGGGGAAGGACTTGGAGACCCCCCCAACTCAGCTAGCCAGTGCTGCTGAAAGGTGTGACAGGAGACTAGCACAGGAATGCTGGCGCTTCAACGATCACCCAGCATACTGGCCCCCGTCTCTGGACACAAAGGAGATGGAGGTTTCCAAGGAGACCGTCTGATGGTCCAGACATCATTGGGCAGTTACTTCACAGCACTGCCTCGGGATGCCTTTTATCAAGAAGCAGACTGTTCAAAGGTCTGGTTCTTTATATTCTTCTCATCGCCCAGTCAACGCTTTCTGCAAGATAATGAGTTCTAGGCAGAGACGTGTTGAGAAAGAAGGAAAGATATGACTAGAAAGAGAGTCAACTGCCACCCTCGGCAAGAAACGGCTCTGACACGGTGTTCACAAGTGGAGACACAGCAAAAGTGGTGACCCAGTGACGGAGGGAAGCCAGATTCTGAGTTTGTCCCAGGACAGCAAGAACTCAAAGTCAACCATGGTGGATTCTCGATCTGTTTGAGGGAATGCCAAGTGGTTTGCTCAACTTAAAAAGCTGTCATACCTCACGAAATACCCTTCACATTCTCTCTCAGGGCAATCAGTAACATGTCTGTTATGTCCATGTCTCCATCTTCACTTGTGCAATCTTCACCAGTACTTGTCTGAGAGTGCAGGGAGATGCCCAGAGAGGACCATGGCAGAGGGACATGGAAGGACAGGAGTCCCAGCAGCTGCACTCAGTATAACACCCCATGCCCTCGAACCCAAACTCGGCCTTCAGAGGGTGGGTACTGCCGGCTGCTCCAAGTCCCAGAAGGATATGTGGATCGGGAGAATGGGCAGGAAGTCAAAGAAAAGAGCCGGAGGCTAGTCTAGAAAAGGAGACTTGGTGGCAAAACTGTTCATCCGAAGGTTAACCGTTCAAAGCCAACCAGCCACTTCATCAAGAATGATCTAGAGATCGGCTTCCATGAAGGTGGTTGTTACTGTGCCTCAGTCACACGGTCAAGCCGGTGCGGGCTCACAACAACCCCATGACCTGCAGAAGGAAGCCCTGCCTGGGCCTGGGCCTGGGCCATCCTCACATCCACTCCTATGTCCGAGCCCAGTTACAGGCACAGTTGAGAATCATCTTCTTCTTCGCTGACTCTACCTAGCGTGATGTCCTTCTCCAGGGACTGGTCTCCGGTGACAACATGTCCAAAGTGCAGGAGATGAAATCCCCCTTCCAAGGAGCATTCTCATGGTGCTTCTTCTGTGACAGGTTTGTTCACCGTCCTGGCTTTCCACAGTACAGTCAAGATCCTTCACCAACACCCTCTTTGAACGTCAATTCTCCTTTGGTCTTGCTCAGTCGCCACGCAGCTTGCACATGTCTAATGAGGCGAATGGAGAGGCCATGGCTTAGGTCAGGTGCGCCTGTCCTCCAGGGGGCACATTAACACGGAAAGGTTATTTTCAGTCGATTCGCTCAGTGCGATCCACCTTCGCATTTCTTGACTGCTGCTTCCATGGGTATTGATGATGGATGCAAGAAAAATTGCATTCTTGACCACTTCAATCTTTTCTCCATTTATCATGATGTTGCTGATTGGTTCAGTGGTGAAGATTTGTGTGTTCTTTGCAAACCATTGTAATCTCTACGGAACTTTGTCGTTTTTGACCTGCATCAGCAAATGCTTTAAGCCCTCTTCACCTCCAACAAGCAGAGTTGTACCATCAGCACATCATAGCTTGTTAGGGAGCCTTCCCCCAGGCCTGATGCCCGTGTCGTTCCTCATATAGTCCAGCTTCTCCGATTATTGGCTCAGCAAATATATTGAGTAAGTATGATGAAAGGATGCAACCCTGACACACACTTTTCCTCATTTTAAACCATTTGGTAACCTCTTTTCTGTTCAAAATAACTCTCTGGGTCTGTGTACAGGTCCCACAAGGGCACAATTACATGTTCTGGAATTCCCATTCTTTGAAATGTTGTCCACAGTTTGTTATGATCCACACAGTTGATTGCGTTTTCATAATCAACAAAATACAAGCAAACATCTTTCTGGTATTTTGTGCTTTCAACCAAGATCTATCAGACGTCAGCAACAATATCCCTTATTCCATGTCCTCTTCTGAATCTGGCAGTTTCCTATCAATCAGTATACTGCAGCAACCACTTAAAATATAAGCATCATTGGAATTTTATTTGTTTGTGATATTAATGGAGCCCTGGTGGTGTAGTGGAGCCCTGGTGATGTAGTAGTTTTGCGTTGGTCTGTGATCCACATGGTTGGCAGTACAAAACCACTGGCCGCTCCATGGGAGAAAGACTGGGATTTCTACTCCCCTAAACAGTTACAGTCTCAGAAACCCACAGGGGCTTGTTATGAGTCAGCATTGACGCAAGGGCAGTGAGTTTGTTTTTTGAGTGTGTGATATTAATGATACTGCTTAATAATTTCCACAGGCTGTTGGATCATTTTTCTCGGAATGGGACCAAACAGGGACCTCTTCCAGCCGGATGCCCCGGCAACTCTCGTCCAATTTTCTTGGCATGAAAGAGTGAGGGCTTCTAATGTTGTACCCCTTTGTTGAAACACTTCAATCAGTACTCCATCAATTCCCAGAGTCTTGGTGTTTGCCAATGCCTTTAGTTCAGCTTGGACTTCTTTCTTCAGCACCACCAGCTCTGGATCATAGGAAAGTTTCAAAATTTTCATGTCTTATAATTCCATTTCCCCACAAACCTTTTGAAACTTTCTCACATGCTACCTCTTAAGTGGCTGAATACCAACCAATTCTTTTTGGAATAATGGCACTGTATATTCCTTCTATCTCCTTCCTGCGTCCAAAGACCCCCGCAACGTGAAGATTGAATTTTCCCCTCCAGTTCTTTGATGAGAAATGCCACACATCGTCCTCCCTTTGGTTTTCTCGCCCGGGGTCTTTGCACATTTCGTTGTAACACTTACTTTGTCTTCTCAACAGATTTGTCTTTTGGGCATCCTCTGGCCAGTTCTTTCACGGCATCATGTCTTCTTTCTTTTTTCCTTGTGTGTGTGGTTTATTTATTTATTTAAATCATTTTATTGGGGGCTCATACAACTCTTATCAGAATCCATAGGTACATCAATTGTGTAAAGCACATTTATACATTCCTTGCCCTCATCATTCTCAAAACATTTACTCTCCACTTAAGCCCTTGGCATCAGCTGCTCATTTTCCCCCTCCCTCCCAGCTCCCCCCTCCCTCATGAACCCTTGATAATTTATAAATGATTATTTTGTCATATCTTGCCCTGTCCGACATCTCCCTTCACCAACTTTTCTGTTGTCCATTCCCCAGGGAGGGGGTTATAAGTATAGATCCTTGTGATCAGTTCCCCCTTTCTACCCTACCTTTCCCTTACCCTCCTGGTATCACTACTCTCATTATTGGTCCTGAGGGGTTTATCGGTCCTGGATTCCGTGTGTGTCCAGCTCTTATCTGTACCAGTGTACATCCTCTGGTCTAGCTGGATTTGTAAGGTAGAATTGGGATCATGATAGTGGGGGAGAGAGGGGGGCAAGGAAGCATCAAAGAACTAGAGGAAAGTTGTATGTTTCCTCAGTGCTATAATGCACCCTGACTGGCTCATCTCCTCCCCACAACCCTTCTGTAAGGGGATGTTCAGTAGCCTACAGATGGGCTTTGGGTCTCCCCTCTGCATTCCCCTTCATTCACAATGACATGGTTTTTTGTTCTTTAATGCTTGATACCTGATCCCTTCGACACCTCGTGATCACACAGGTTGGTGTGCTTCTTCCATGTGGGCTTTATTGTTTCTCAGCTAGATGGCCACTTGTTTACCTTCAAGCCTTTA